TATATATATACATATATATATATATATATATATATATATATATATATATATATATATAAAGAGAGAGAGAGAGAGAGAGAGAGAGGGAGAGAGAGAGAGAGAAAGAGAGGGGGAAAAAAAAAAATCTACAGAACCCCCAACCTCCAACTCCCATTTCGTACATTTGCTCAATCATCGCCCATCGTTTGTCATTGTCTTGTATTTAGCCCTCGATCATCCCAATTTCTTAACCCCCTACTTGTGTGAATGCACTGTACCGAGATAATAACCACTAATGCTTTATTTTCTACAACACTTCATCCATGTGCATGTGTTTGTGGAAGGCAACAAAGAGGGTGCTCGACAGAACGAAAGAGAAACATGTGTGGGATAATGAACAAGCAGACATGGCGCGCATGTGAACACGCGAAAGTATATCGATTCCGCTTACCCCCAATTGCAAGACAATGGAGGGAGGGAGGTTGCACCACAAAACTCCTAAATTCGAAATGTGGGAAAGGTGCCAATGGCCACTCCATTATCGACTGCCAATGAACCTATGTGGTACCAGTTGGCATTGAAAACGGTTGTCGATGTCCTCCTACCCTCCCTTAGGTTGACGCGGTTATACCACGGGCGGGCCTTAAATGTGAACCAAAGAAAAACAAAGAAAACATGTAGGTCGCACCACTACCAACCTTTAAGGCATGAACTCCACAGCGAGGCAACATGAAAAGCTTCGGAGGTTGCACAAACCTACACTCTCCCATCGTTGTCAGTTGAAGACTTCAACAAAGGACCCTGGTGCCTTGTCCGATTTATTGGCTTTATGAAAATAACATATTTTTTAGCGTTTTCCATAAAAGGAAAGAGTGTTGAATTCCTCCATACCCCGTGGAATGACTGTCGTTCCTCCTGGTACAACAATAGTTAGAGAGCAACGAAAGTGTGGGGCCTCGTACGACATGCACGACTGTTTTGGTCTTGTGACCATCACCCCCGTTCCATGCTTATTCGGCAACAGGTGCAAAGTACAACTCCAAATGTCTAACAACGTCTCCGTTGTATGCAGAACGTGCACGCTGTGCAGATAACACAGTCGAGGAAGACGTCGAGCATGAACAACCCACCAGGCAAACATCGGCGAGAGAACCGAGGCGGAAGATATGCAATGTCTTCCATCTTTGTAAACCGGTGTTACGGGTCATATCTAGCACCACGATATGAGCTTTTGCAAAGCAGCAGCAACTCGACCCGTCGATCATCTTTGACACGACAATGAACGACCGTGGAGACATCGATGACCACTCTTACTCGTGGGCTATCGTTGATGATGACAACGAAGATTTGTGTTCTCCGGTTGGACTGGGGGCCACTGGTCAAGGTGCCAGGAAGGAGGAAACCACCGCACCTTCAAAGAACGCACCAGGGAAGTTGCTGGCGACCTTCTTGATTGGCTGCTGCTAGCCTCGCCAGACTCTCGAACATCAGGACAACGGCCTCCACTGTAGCAGGAGACTCCACGGGCGTGCAGGATATGCGGAGCAGCATAAGCTCCTCCCCTTCCCAACTTGCACAAGTGGGCTATCCAACAATCTCCTCCCCAGGCGAAGGGTTCCACCAAGACCACGATCACAACCCCACAAGCAGCACACAAGCATGGCTATGGTCGCTGCAACACGGCCTTCTCCCACCGAGCACACAAAGTACAACAGCGCGGATGCGAGGGGGAGTGGTGGGCATATGGAAAGATGAAGGTCGGGCATGCACTTCAGCCGGTGAGTCGATCACCGACTGGCAGACGTCCGTGCATATACTGTCCGTCGTGCAAACACAGGGCGCTCACAGTGCATGGACGTTTTGAAAACAGTCCCTCGCCAATTTTTGAGTTTGGGACAAAAATGGACCATCTTCCCTACCTGGTACCGCTCACTTGTGCGTGCCAATGGTAAATGGGTGGCACCATGCAATGTCTGGGGGTGAGGCCTGGATTCCGCAGATGGACCGGTGTTTGCCCCACGGTCGGGAGACATTCGTCCGCTGGTGCCAGAAGGCATCGTCGAGGGCTACCCCCTAGATTGGGCACCATTTATAAGGAAAAGTGCGTGTCGAACCCTCTGTAAAACCGGCAGAGTATTACTAGGGCACTCGGTTCAGCAGGGCCACGGTCGGCCATTAGGAGAGTGTCAAGATAGGCGGACTACGTCCACTGGGCCACGTTAGTCCCAGGGGCCAAGTAGGGCCAAGTAGCACTGCAGGGTAGCACTATTTTTTACTCAAAAAATTATGATTAATGACATTCATCTTCATCAGCCTACTTTGAATCATCAAATTGGAATCCAATTGAGATGGTTTCAGTACAACTCCATTTCATTTGTGTAGGAAGCTATAGAACTTGAGAAGGTGGATAGTAGAGACTTTCTAGAGACCTTGCCTGTAAGCTAAGCTGGCTGATATACTCCGGGGGCCAAGTCCCACTTACCCGAATGATCTATTTCTGACCGCAGATTTCGAAGATCAACGACCCAAAATCAAGGATCAGCGTAAGTGGGACTCGGCCCCGGGCTGAATTGCTATTGCTAAAATAAAGAAATAAAGAAAAGAAAAAAAGGCAACCTTCCAGACCACGAAATCTTGTATGTGGAGTCCCCTAAAATCTGGTGGACGAGGAAATCGTTATCCGCCAATATGTGGGGTCCACCCCTCTAACCCCAGTGGGTGACCCGTGACGCCGCCCTTCAAATAGAGGACCGTTTTGCCTGTGGCGCCCTTGATTTTCCAAGGGCCAGCTGGCCCTTGAAATCCAAAATGTGAAAAAAAGCTGCTTCTCCTATTTGAGATCTTGCAATAAAATCCCAGACTTTCCGGAAAAAAAAAAAAAAAAAAAAAAGCTGCTTCCCTGAAAAGACTGGAGTTGGACGTGGTGTGGATCAAGGCCCCTTACCGATAGCCCCGGGGGATAGGGTCGGCAAGCGATGGATCGAGGCCCGAAATTAATTGATTCTCAGGCCCCTATCAACGCCCACCTATGGCCGGGCTCGCAGGGCGCGGGTGTTGGGAGCGTCGGTGGGTCCTTCCTAAGCTTGAGGCGCGCGCAAAGCGCGCGCGCAAAGGGAGGCGCGGCGCAAAGTGCGGAGAACACCGCCGCTGAGGACGAAGCAATTGGACAGATAGCGGTCGATATTAGGGACAGGGGAGATGAACTCACGCGTAGCAGCCTTACGCCAGAAGGCAACGGCAGCCGCGAAGGCCGTCAATGACACCTTTCACTTGACAACGGCAAGACCTCCTCTCACCACGATTGACTTGACACATGTCCTAATGTCCTTCGACCTTAGTTAGATTTGATATAATCTGGTCTGGTCTGGTCTGATCTGATGTGATCTGGTCTGATCTGATCCTGTCGTCTTTCCTCTTGATCTCGTCCCTCGGCCTCCCACCCCTTTGCCGTCCTCTCTCCCTCTCTCCCTCTCTCCCTCTCTCCCTCTATCTCTCCCCCTCTCTTTCCCCGTCTCTCTCTCACACTTACATCGGCACGGTGGTGGTGAGTGAATGTTCCATGAGTTAGTTAAATGCATCCTGGGAAGACTCCGAGGCTTCGATCTCCTGATGCGTCAGTGAAACTTCACCCATTTTATGTCCCAGCTACCGTTCTTCTGTCGACTTTGTGCCCAGCCAATAAAAAAGATCCACGCGCAGAAACGAGCTTTGCTCGCAAATTAAACTGGCTGAGGCTGCCATGTTATCTCCGGGTTGAATTGTGAGGTCCCCGGCCTCGTCCGAGAGGAAAAAAAAAAAAAAAAAAAAAAAGAGTTGGTAATGAATTGGCAAGCTTCCCCCCCCCAAAGAAAAAAAGACCCACACGCGAGCACGCACGTACACACACGTACACACACATCCACACACACAATGGATCTCGCCACACCCCGCACGCCAGGAAAAAATGCGAGTGCATCTCTCCACAGAAGTCGGCAAAAAACATCCGTGGCTATGAATAGTAACGGACGGATGAATTTCGCCAGCTCTTCGGGACGATGCAGTGCCATTTTGTTTTTCGTTTCCTGAGTGGTGTGGCGAGGGCCAATGTGTATATATATGACGATATATGACATATACATATGTATGTATATGTGGAAGTCAACGAGAAATGCATATAAAAATCAACGATCCCCCGCGCAAATATATTTGTTATGCGAAAACGAAAAAACGAAATGATGACGGAGTAGTTGGAGATGATGAAAGGAAAAAAAAAAGAAGAAAATGATACTACAAAAAGCAAACGAGGAAAGGGAAAGTATTTGTTATGGTGCGGTGCATGGGTGTCGGACGGTGATTTGCAGTAGGAATTTCTGGATTGAATGTGAATTTGGCGGTAATTTCTGGGTTGATTCAGGCAAAAAATTAGTCCTATCTCCTGTGAGTGTTGGACGGTAAAAAGCGAGCGTAAGGGCATTTACTCATTTGCAGTAAGACTGTGGACTGAATTTTGAATTTGAATTTGGACGTAATTTCTGGTTTGATGCAGCCGGGAAAAATAAGTCCCATCCCCGAAGAGGGCTGTCACCGATCAGCTGCGCCGGAGCTGATCTTTTAGCGGGAGTCTTTTTTTTTTTTTTTTTTTTTTTTTTTATATTCGAGTCTTATGTTATGTTGGGGTGAAGGACGGACATAGCCCGTTAAAAAAAAGGAAAAACAGCAATAAGAAAGGAAAAAAAAGAAAGAAAAAGTGGGGATGGAAACGAAAGGAGAATGAAAATGGAATGGGAAATGAAATGCAGTGGAACGGAAGTGAAACTCAA